ACTATGGTCAGTTACAGCTCAGGAAAGGACACATGCCCTGAAGCTGGCCTGGTCAGGGGGTCAGTCTCTGGTGAGGGGCACGGCCAACTGCCACCACCCAATGGCCTTTACCCCTGCCCTCCATCCTGTGCAGAGTAGCAGCCTCGGGGCTCTCACTGGGGTCTGCGTGGTTGCAGGAGGGGCTAGGTGGGCTCCTCCCTGGTCTTGAGTGAGGGGCATGGGGGAGTGCTGGTTGTAGGGAGGGTGGGAGCAAACAGGCAGCACTCATCAGGATAGGTTCAGCCCACCCCTCTGAACCTGTTTTCCCCTTCAGTGTGGAAAGGAGAATGCAATCTCAGGCAAGGTCAATGTGAACCCTGTGGCCTGGCTACCATGGTCACTTGATAATGGACATCTTTATAGACCTCATGAGAATGACCCACCATGCTGCAGAGGGCAGGTGCCCTCAGGTGTGGGGTGGTGAACACTACAGAGCCAAGACTCATGCACCCGCCTGCCAGGCCCAGGGTGGTCCTGCCTCCCCAGGTCCCCAAGGTGCTAGGGTAAGATGCAGACTATGACCTCATAGGTCTAGGGCTGCTGGTGCTGTGTTCTTCAGACTGGATGAGGACCCCAGGGACTCTGCAGAGATCTACCTCACTTCTGGTACATTGTGTCCATCCTGAGTGGCCCCAGACTGGAGTCCTCACTTCTGGGAAGGCACCCTCTGGGCCCTGCTGGGCCACCTGCCCACTCTCCAGGCAGTCACTTTGCCTGTCCACCCTACCAGCCACAGTCCTACTGTCAGCTAATCTTATGTCCTTGTGATGGCTCCTTTTTTTTTTTGGAGACCGGGTCTTGCTCTGTCACCCAGGCTGGAGTGCAGTGACCCAATCTTGGCTCACTGCAAGCTCTGCCTCCCGGGGTCACGCCATTCTCCTGCCTCAGCCTCTTGAGTAGGTGGGACTGCAGGCGCCCACCACCACGCCCGGCTAATTTTTTTGTATTTTTAGTAGAGACGGGGTTTCACCGTGTTAGCCAGGATGGTCTCGATCTCCTGACCTCGTGATTCTCCCGCCTCGGCCTCCCAAAGTGCTGGGATTACAGGTGTGAGCCACCGCGCCTGGCCATGATGGCTCCTTAATGCCCTTACTGGCACTTTGGTTGTCTGTTGAAGTCACCAACCTGATTATCAACTCGTTTGGAGTGTGCTGGATTCAGTCCACCCAGTTGCCTGGCAGAGCCAAGCCTGGCCTTGCCATATCCCAAACCTGATCTTGTGCCCATGGTTGATCCTTCATGGGCTACTTTGGCCCAGCCACTGTCTGCTTCCATGGGATGCCCACCTATAATGGATTGAACGGCAGCCCCCAAAAAGATAAGTTCATGCCCTAATACCCAGACCCAGTGAATGTGACCTATTGGAAAAAAATCTTTGCAGATGTAAATTAGTCAAGGATCCCAAGATGAGAGCATCCTGGATTAGTGGGGTAGACCCTAAATCCAATGGCAAGTGTCCTTATAAGAGACAGAAGAGGGCCGGGCGCAGTGGATCACGAGGTCAGGAGATCGAGACCATCCTGGCTAACACGGTGAAACCCCATCTCTACTAAAAATACAAATTAGCTGGGCGTGGTGGCGGGCGCTTGTAGTCTCAGCTACTTGGGAGGCTGAGGCAAGAGAATCACTTGAACCTAGGAGGTGGAGGTTGCAGTGAGCCAAGATTACACCACTTCACTCCAGCCTGGGTGACAGAATGGGACTCCATCACACACACACACACACACACGATGACAGAATGGGACTCCATCACACACACACACACACACACAGATGGGAGTTACAATGGCTCATCTACCCTCCAACCTAGGTAACAAATGACTCCATCCACAATGACAAAATAGAACTCCATCCCCCCCACACACACACACGACGGTGGGATGGTGAAAATGTGGCGAGAGTGCGTGAGTGTTCGGGATGGCTAGTAACTTTGGGTTTGCTTTCATGGCTCTGCTTCTCCTCCCTGGGAACTGCCAACTTCCATTTTCTCCTCTGTTCTTAGATCCTGCAACCAGGATTCTTGTGTTGGGAGCCAAGATGCCCTGCTGAAGCCTCCATCCCTGAGGCTGCTTAGCGATGGCTGCCGGACCTCGGAAGGGGCCTGGAGTAAGATTAGAGGCCTCTGCTGGGGACTGACATGGAGCCAGAGAGGACCTCTGTCAGCAAGATCTCATCTCGGGCTCTCCTCCAGAATTACAGGAGCACACACACACACACACACACGATGACAGAATGGGACTCCATCACACACACACACACACACACACATACACTCTCTCTCTCTTAAGGAAATCTGGCCAAGTATTCCAGGATGCTTCAGCCACTGGAGTTTGCTTTCATGGCTCACCAACACCTTCTCCCCTCCTGGGAACTGCCAACTTCCATTTCTCCTCTGTTCTTCCAGATCCTACAACCAGGATTCTGTGTTGGGGAGCCAAGATGCCCTGCTGAAGCCTCCATCCCCTGAGGCTGCTTCGCAGTAAGCTGCCCGGGCCCTCAGAAGAGGCCTGAAATGGAGTAGAGGCCCTCTGCTGAGGACAGCATAGAGCCAAGAGGGGGACCTCTGTGGAGGGATGGCCAGTAGCAGGACAACTCTCCAGGGTGCAGGGTCCCAGGCCTGCAGACATAGAATAAGCCCTAGCCCAGGGACCTGCGGGATTGGTAAAGTTGGACCCCTTGGGTGGGTGCCCCACTGGAGCTTCCTCTCCAGGTCCTTGCCTGATTCAGAGTCTTGTTCCTGAAATCACTCCTGTGTGACCGTTGTCACAAGATGCTTCTCTGGTGCTGCCCCTGCAAGAACCCTGCAGGGTCACTTAGACAACAGGCTTGTGTAGAAGTGAAGAAAGCCGGCCGGGTGAGGTGGCTCAAGCCTATAATACCGGCACTTTGGGAGGCTGAGATGGCAGATCACGAGGTCAGAAGATCGAGACCATCCTGGCTAACACGGTGAAACCCCGTCTCTACTAAAAAATACAAAAAACTAGCCGGGCGAGGTGGCGGGCGCCTGTAGTCCCAGCTACTTGGGAGGCTGAGGCAGGAGAATGGCGTAAATCCGGGAGGCGGAGCTTGCAGTGAGCTGATATCCGGCCACTGTGCTCCAGCCTGGGCGACAGAGCAAGACTCCGTCTCAAAAAAAAAAAAAAAAAAAAAAAGGCCGGGCGCGGTGGCTCAAGCCTGTAATCCTAGCACTTTGGGAGGCCGAGACAGGCAGATCACGAGGTCAGGAGATCGAGACCATCCTGGCTAACATGGTGAAACCCCCTCTCTACTAAAAAAATACAAAAAACTAGCCGGGTGAGGTGTTGGGCGCCTGTAGTCCCAGCTACTCGGGAGGCTGAGGCAGGAGAATGGCGTGAACCCGGGAAGCGGAGTTTGCAGTGAGCTGAGATCCGGCCACTGCACTCCAACCTGGGCGACAGAGCGAGACTCCGTCTGAAAAAAAAAAAAAAAGAAGAAAGCCTACAGACTGTCACAGACCCCATAGCCAGTCCCCTCCAGACAAGTCCCCCACACCTATGCTGCCAAGTGGTAAGGCCTTTGACTGGTGCTTCAAACTCCACTCCAGGGCTGCCAGTCAACCCATGCCAGCCCTGCAGGGACAAGGCCTTTGTGTGGTGGCCAGGCCTGTGGTACCACCAGATGCTTCACTCCAGAGGGAGGCCCTTTCTGTGCCTGGGAGTGGGAAGTTCTTCCACATGGGCTCAAGACTCCTCCAGTAGCAGTGCACCCACAGGCGTGAGAAATCCTACTTGTGTCAGGCCAGGTGCAGTGGCTCACACCTGTAATCCCAGCACTTTGGGAGGCCGAGGCGGGTGGATCACGAGGTCAGGAATTCAATACCAGCCTGGCCAAGATGGTGAAACCCCATCTCTACTAAAAATACAAAAATTAGCCAGGCGTGGTTGTGGGCACCTATAATCCCAGCTACTCAGGAGGCTGAGGCAGAGAACTGCTTGAACCTGGGAGGCAGACGTTGCAGTGAGCTGAGATCGCAGCCACTGCACTCCAGCCTGGGTAACAGAGTGAGACTCTTGTCTCAAAAAAAAAAAAAAGAAATCCTACTTCTGTCCCAATTGGGGCCAGTGGCTGAACCTGTCACATATCTGCACTCCTTTATCTGTGACAATTGTCAAGGCCTTCCTGTGCAACTCTCTTCAGCCCCCAAGGGACCCACAAGGCGGGCAGCCCTCCAAGTGCCCTTCAGCCTCCTGCTCGCCCTCAATGAGCTTGGTGAGCCCTGAGTTTTGTACTTGGGCAGGGAGCTAGACCTCTTGACAAGGCTTTCCATGTCCAGACACCCAAAGGATGGAGAAAGGGAGTGGGACAGTCCCAGCATCCCTGAAGCAGATGCGGTGGAGGCAGAAAGGTAGGGCAAATTGGGTCGTATGTATGTGCTGGACTGGCCAACAAAATTAGATGTCCCTATGGAGGGCAGGAGCCACACAACAGATGGGGGCAAGAGCTGGGTGACAAATGGGTAGGAGGCCTGACCAGTTCATCCTACCTGGGAGGGCCCTAGAGTCCGCAACACCCAAAGGGGGTGGGGAGGCCGTGGTTCCCCAAAGGGGCCGCACATGTTAGAATCAACTGGGGGCCAGGCTAGGGCCCTGGTGCACTGGCTCAAGCCTGTAGTCCCGGCAATTTGGAAGGCTGAAGCACGAGGATCGCTTCAGCCCAGGAGTTCCAGACCAGTCTGGGCAACATACGGTCTATCTCTGAAATAAATAAATAAAAATAAAAAAAAGATCCAGGCATAGTGGCTCCCACGTATAGTCCCAGCTATTCGGGAGGGTGAGGTGGGAGGGTCGCTTCAGTACAGGAGTTCGAGACTAGCCTGGGCGGGATAATGGGAAGAAGAAGGCAGGGGGAGGGAGAGAAGAAAGAAAATTAGCCGGGCGTGGTGGCGCGCGCCCGTGTTACCAGCTACTCTGGAGGCTGAGGTGGGAGGATCGCTTGAGCTCAGGAGGTCGAGGCTGCAGTGAACCGTGATGGTGTCACTGCATTGACCTGGGCGACAGAGCGAGACCCTGTCTCAAAAAAGCAAACCAAAAACAACAAAAAAGTAGACTCAACTGAGGACTTTTGACGCGCAGATGCTCAGGCCCACTCCCAGATTCTGATGTTATCGGTCTGACTCGCAACGCGCTCACCAGGACACTTCAGAGCTTCCCAAGTGCTTCACAGCCCAACCCTCCCACCCGAGGGGAGGCTGCGAGCGGCAAGTCGTTTCCGGGTTGGCACCTCTTAGAAATCAGATTGGGAGAAGGAGGCTATCAAGCATCATCATGACCAATCACCCGCTTTCACGAGGAGGAATGGGCGGGACTCTGCGGCCCTGTCCGGAACGCCGTTTCCTTGGCGACGACGCAGCCGCGTCCTGCCTTGTAGGTGGGGCCGGCCTCTGTTTCTACGACAACGGAAACCCAAGCCTCCCGCTACACCGCTTTCTCCGCAGCGCCAAAGCGGGACAAGACGGGACTACGTTTCCCAGCAGTCACCGCGCGGGTTCTTGCCTGCGCTTGCTGTGGCCTGGGTCCCTCAGTGCCGCGGCGGCCCGGAGGTGGCGGGAGGACGGCTCCGCGCTGCATGCGGGGCGGGGACCAGGGGACCCGTGCGGGCCGCCTCCAGCGAGTAAGTGGCATTCTGCGCGGACCCGCAACCTCGGCCTGCGAGGCGGGGACCTCCCGGCGCATAGCGCGGCCACCACCCCAGTCCCCTCTCCACCTCCGCGGGCGGGGCCCGGGGCAGAGGCTTGACGCCGCGCACTTCCGGTCCTCGCGCTCCGGGTCCGGACCGGCCACAGCAGTCGCGACCTTGAGTTCCGGGCGGGACGGGCTGCTGTAGTTTTGGCCCCCGCGTTTCCGTGCTGGGTGTCATTGAAGCCCGCGAGGGGAGGCTCCAGGCCCGGCACGCATCCTGGCGGCCTGCGACTCTCGGAGTCAAGCCCACCTGCTAGCCGAGGCCGACGCCGGCCTCCCTACCGCTTCTGCCCCCGCATCCTGGCCTTTGCACTTGCTCTTCCCTTACCTTGTCTCCAGACCGGTTTCATGCCCGCTCCTCACAGAGACCCGAAGAGTTCGCTGCCTCCCTCCCCGGCGCCCTCGCGCTGCTCCCTGTCTGATGTTCTTCACGTCTTTTTCTCTCTTAAATTGTCTCCTTGTTCATTTCTTCTTGTCTGCGGCCCCCTCCTTCACTCACTGTTAGAGCAGGATGCAGCACCGTTTGGCCCTGACACTGGATGTCCTGCGAGGGTTGAAACTTGCTAATCCTTGAGGGTGGAGGCACTGTGGGGAGGACAGGCACAGAAGGGAGCTGTGCCTGCACTCAGAGGACATTTCTTCTGCTGTACAATGCGTGGTGCACTGTTCTTCCCATTGCGTGCGCAGTGTAGAATTGGACATAGGGGCTAGAGTCTGTGTCCCCTGGGACTGTCAGTGTGGGCGAGGTTGGTTTTTGGCTCAGAGAGGTGGAGCCACGCTGAGCTGGGCACTAGCCTGTGTCCTCCACACCTCAGAGCCACCAACGTTGACTTCTCTGCACATTCTGGTTTTTTTTTTTTTTTTTAATTGTTGTTGTTTTTGTTGTTTTGAGATGGAGTTTTGCTCTTATTGCCCAGGCTGGAGTGCAGTGGCGCGATCTCGGCTCACTGCAGTCTCCGCCTCCCGGGATCAAGCGATTCTTCAGCCTCAGCCTCTCGAGTAACTGGGATTACAGGCATGCACCACCGTGCCCAGCGGCTTCCCGTCACATTCTCTTGGGCAAATAAGACCTCACTGTGCCGTGTCCAACCTCCATGAGGATGTGGAACCGCAATAGCTTTCCTGTGTGTGCTGTCGCTCTGCAGTTCTGCAGGGTTCAGCCTTGGCCACGTTAACCTCTCAGTCCCCCTAAATTGGTAGCTCTGCATCCTGTTCCCAACACCAGAAGCCCTGAGGACAACTAGAAAAGCTGGGTGAGCACCCAGGTGCAAGCATGCTCACCTGGGGCAGATGGGAGATCACTGTCAGAACAGCCTGGGAGAGCTGTAATGCACCATCAAGGATGGGCTCCTGGGGCCTGGGACCCAGAGCCTTGATTGTGTTTGCTGTGCTCAGCCTCAGATCATGGGTCCATGGCTGGAATGTCACCTACCTACAGGTGGGATAGTTGGACAGTGCATCCTGGGAGCAGATCGAGGAGATGAAGAGACTCGGCCATGGTCCACAGCTCCCACCTGCTGTGTCTGGTGCTGGGAGGCAGGTTCTTGTTGCAGCAGAGGAGCCACCCATGGGAGCAGGGCATCTGGGGACCAATCCGAAGATGCTCTTAGCACATGGCCAGCAGGCACCCCTCAGCCCCCACCTCTCACGAGTTCAGGGTCCCTTTCTGCCAAGTGGGGACTGCTGGTTCTTCAGGACAACCCAGCTTCCCCAACCCTCTGTTCAGACACTGGGCAGTCCTCTGACTCCCCATCACTAGGGATCAGGACAGCCCCACACAACACACCCATTTGTCGAGGGTGCTAGATCAGTCTCTATTAGTTTCTATGCTGCTATAACACACTACCACAAACTGGGCAGTTTAAAATAACAGAAATTCTCCGAGTCCTGGAAGCCAGAAGTCTGAAATCAAGGTGTCGGCAGGACTGTGCTCTCTGACGGCTCTGGGTGGGGGTCTTTCCTTGCCTCTTCTGGCTTCTGGCGGCTCCAGGTGTTCTTGGAGTGTGGCTGCATCACTCCAATACCAACCTTCATCTTCACATGGCCTCCTCTTCTCCGTGTCAGAACTCCCTTTGCCTCCTTCAAAAGGACACCTGTCATTGGAGTTAGGACACACCCAGGTTATTCAGAGTGATCTCATCACAAGATCCTTACTTATGTCTGCAAAGACCTAAGAAGGTCACATTCTGAGAGTTCCAGGGTTAGGGCGTTGGACGTATCTTTTGCAGGCTGAGGGACATCTTTCAACCTATTACAGCCTCCTTCAGTGGAAGCTGCCGGTCCTGGGTGACCTCGTGCCCATCCATTCTTGGGCCTGTCCATTGATTCCATGGTGACCAATTGTCCCTGTTTGGCCAGGCTGCCCCAGGTATGGTCTTTCACCTGGGAAGTCCTCAGCCCCTAAGTCCCTAGAGTTCTAGGAAGTCATGCTGAGTGCTGATCCTCGCTCTGTTCATGCCACCAGCTGTTGTACAGACTGTGACATGAAGCCGGCAGCCTTGGAGCTAATAGTAAGGCAGGTGGCCAGGTCCCTCCATCCCTGACACTTGGGTCCCTGTGACCTGGAGTTATGTCAGAGAGGTCCAGATCCTGACTGTGGGGCTTCTGGGATGGCACATTGTGAAGGCGGGGCCCCTGATCTCCTGCTGCTCAGCATCCATAGTGGCATGCTCCCTCCGCCGTGTAAGGGGCTGGAGTCCACACTGGTACCCCCATCAGAGTTTATGGCTGGGGAGTTCCCGGCCCTGTGTGTGGGGACCTCAGATCCCAGCCTGGCAATGACCCTGGACTGACCCCCTTAGCAGTGAGTCCTGGTGGCTTTCTCAGGAGCTCTTCAGTCAGCCTGGCCTCTCAGAGGCAGACTAGGGAACACTACAAAACCTGCAGTGCTCAGACAGAAGCTTGAGAGAGTGTGGGGAGGTGGGCGGGATGGGCCTGCCCCGAATAGCCAGGTCCATGGCCAGCAGACGGACTCCAGAGAGACAAGCCTACACCTGTGAGAGACAGACACCAGATACTGGGGATGGTGGTTGGGAGCCAGCGGGCAGCCTGGGTGTGGACTGAGCTGCATGGTCAGACAGACCAGAATGTGTGTCTCCATGTCCTGTGTCCTGCCCTCAGTCTCCTCCCTCCCAAGTCACAATTTCCCATCTGGTGGCAGCAATGCCCTTGGGCATGTGCCCTTGTAAGGAATTGCCCTGTGCCCTGAATATCATTCCCAGGGAGCATGTTCAGTTTCTAATGAGTTTTCTTTGCTTTCTTTTTTTGAGATGTGGTCTCACTGTGTTGCCCAGGCTGGCATGCAGTAGTGCGATCTTAGCTCACTGCAGCCTCGATCTCCCAGGCTCAAGCGATCCTCCCACCTTAGCCTTCTGGTAGCTGGGGCTACAGGCATGCACCACCACACCCAGATAGTTTTTTTTTTTTTTTCCTTTTTCTTTTTCTTTTTTTTGAGACAGAGCCTCACTCTGTCGCCCAGGCTGGAGTGCAGTGGCGCAATCTCGGCTCACTGCAAGCTCCGTCTCCCCGATTCAAGTGATTCTCCTGCCTCAGCCTCCCAAGTAACTGGGATTACAGGCACGTGCCACCTTGCCTGGCTAATTTTTTGTATTTTTAGTAGAGATGGGGTTTCACTGTCTTAGCTAGGCTGCTCTCGATCTCCTGACCTCGGGATCCATGCGCCTTGGCCTCCCAAAGTGTTGGAATTACAGACGTGAGCCACCACGTCCGGCCATGTTTTTTCTTTTTTTCTTTTTTTTAAAAGACAGAGTCTCGCTCTGTCGCCCAGGCTGGACTGCAGTGGCGTAATCTCGGCTCACTGCAAGCTCCGCCTTCCTGGGTTCATGCCATTCTCCTGTCTCAGCCTCCCGAGTAGCTGGGACTACAGGCGCCCACCACCACACCCGGCTAATTTTTTTTATTTTTAATAGAGACGGGGTTTCACCGTGTTAGCCAGGATGGTCTCGAACTCCTGACCTCGTGATCCGCCTGCCTCGGCCTTCCAAAGTGCTGGGGTTACAGGTATGAGCCACCGCGCCTGGCCTTTTTTTTTTTTTTTTTTCTCCTTCCAGATAGAGACAGGGTTTCACCATATTGCCCAGGCTGGTCTCTAACTCCTGGGCTCAAGCCATCCACCCACCTTGGCTTCACAAAGTGCTGGGATTATAGGCATGAGCCACCACACCCAGCCAAGTTTTCTCTTTGATATGAGTGAATTAACAGACACCTGGTTAAAGAAAATGCTTTTACCCCAGAGCTTAAGCCTCTGATGTGGAAACTATGCTCAGTACTCTGGTACGCAGTTGACTTGGCTGTGTGTGAGAAATTAGTTTATTTTCACCTAGAGATTTAAAAGAACTTGTTTTTCTCTCTTTTCTTTCTTTCTTTCTTTTTTTTTTTTTTTTTGAGACGGAGTCTTGCTCTGTCACCCAGGCTGGAGTGCAGTGGTCTGATTTCGCCTCACTGCAAGCTCCGCCTCCCAGGTTCACGCCATTCTCCTGCCTCAGCCTCCTGGGTAGCTGGGACTACAGGCGCAAGCACGCCTGGCTAATTTTTTGTATTTTTTTTTTTTTTTTTGAGGCAGAGTCCTGCTCTGTCCCCCAGGCTGGAGTGCAGTGGCGCGATCTCGGCTCACTGCAAGCTCCGCCTCCCAGGTTTACGCCATTCTCCTGCCTCAGCCTCCCGAGTAGCTGGGACTACAGGCACACGCCACCTCGCCCGGCTAGTTTTTGTATTTTTTAGTAGAGACGGGGTTTCACCGGATTAGCGAGGATGGTCTCGATCTCCTGACCTCGTGATCCGCCCGCCTCGGCCTCCCAAAGTGCTGGGATTACAGGCTTGAGCCACCGTGCCCGGCCTTTTTTTGTATTTTTTTAGTAGAGACAGGGTTTCACTGTGTTAGCCAGGATGGTCTCGATCTCCTGACCTCGTGAT